TTGCTTCAAGTATAAGAAGCCCACCTGTACTAGGAGTGTTCTTCAACTAGAACCCTAAGAAAGAGTTTGTCAACTCTGTGTAAGAATCACTGCCATGATTTCTTGCTTCCCCTTTTGAACATTACAACTTAGATTAGGGAGTTTTGTCAAACTCCACACAGACATTGTCATGTTTGTTCCCCCTTGAACCTTGATCATAATCAAGTGTTCTTCATCCCTTATGAGGTGAACTATGATTGCTCTGATTATATCCTAGTTAGGATACGTAGGCAAAGACGCGACGTCTTTGCGAGCAAACTTAGTGTATATAACTTTAGGTTTCAACTCATATCTTTTCCCAATCCATAATACATTTTCACAAACTTAGCAAGCAATCAAGCAAAAGGTTCCTGTAGAATACTACAGATGCTTAGGGTGCTAACACCTTCCCTAGGTATAACCAACCCCCGATCCCCGAATCTCTTAAGCGTTGTCGTTACATCGCGAAAAAGGTTTTTCTTTCTTTAGACCTTTCCTGTGGATAAAATAAAGTTCGGTTGTAAAAAGAATTAAGATTCAAGTTAATATAATAGCTTGATATCCAATTTTCACCGCAACAGATGCCTACAGAAGGATCTGAAGCAGAAGCTACAGAAGCATCTGAAGCGTAGACTGAAGACTTTGTATGAAGAGTTTCAAGCACTGTTTTTCAGAAGACTCTGATAGTACTGTACGCTGCATGTACTGAGGATCTGATCTCTAAACTTTGCTCTAATTAATCTCACGCTGAAGCACGCTTGCTACAACACTCTGATACAGCAAACTCTGAAAGACGTCAAGACTCTGATCACCCAAGGCTTTGATGTTAATTGTTGTGAATTAGAAACTTGTTGAAGAAGATTATTTGAATTTATATCTGTTGGTTATGCCAAACGACTCTTTCCTCTTTTATGCTAGACACAAGAACTCAGGCAAAAAGGATTTCTCTGAACGTTCTAATTCTGGGAAAGGTCAAGTCATGTGAAGACAAAAGGCTACAGCTACTTTGCAGTACACGGTCTTCAAGCTTGCAACGCCTTGGACTTGTGAACCTATAAAAGCAAGCCTTCAACAACTTTCTATAGTTGACAAAATTAACCAAACTCATTGAAAAGCTCTCATACAAATTATTATTCTTTGCTGAACTTATTTAATACGTTCTTAAAATTAAGTGTAAATCGCAGTTGTTATATAGCTTTCTTAGAAGCATTCAAACACTTGTTTAGTTTACATTTGATTGTAAAAGTTCCTTGAGAAAACCAAGTTGTGGTCAGTAGTTCTTGAGAAGACTAAGAACAGTTGTTCTTAGTGGTTGTTATTGTAATCAGTTTGATTATAGTGGATTAAGTCCTTGTGGAGAAAGGCAAATCACTCTTGATAGGGTGGACTGGATTAGTTGAGTTCAACGAACCAGGATAAAAATCTTTGTGGTTTTATTGCCATAATATTTTCTAAATCCTTATTCAACCCCCCCCCCCCCCCCCCTTCTAAGTATTTTCTCACCTTCATGTAGCACCGGGTAGCTAGGATTGTATAGGATTCTTTTGTGACATGTTGTATATGTATGTTGATGATGAAATGTTTATGAAAACATGTTGAATATGGTTGAATCAAACTGGTTGACATATATATGATCATATGTGTTGATGTTATTCAATGTTTAGATTTTCCACTTTTATTCTAAATATTGAGATATGGGTGTAAGGACTAAGTTCTTCTGTTTTGAAAGTTACCCCACTATTGCATATCAGTGTTGAGCAGGTGTTGTATGTTTTAATTTCATGGATAATGTGACATACCTCTTTTATACCATGTTTTAAATATACTCTGATAAATGAATTTTTATATGTGGCTAAATGATTTATTTGATTATTTGGGGGATAGAAAGGGGGTGTTACAGTTTTCATTATTATCCTCAGAATAATCTTCATGGGACATAACTGTGATATTAAGACCTTTTAACTTTTGTTCCATACGAACAAATTCTTGACCATTGGTTTCCATTTTGAATCCCTCTATGGGAACAGGAGGTTGTACTATAGGAACATCCGAAATAGCGAATGTGGACATCTGGTCCTTAGGTTTATTTATGAGGTCAATAATGATATCTTGATGTGCTATTTGTTTTTCCAAAAGATTTTTTTATGGATAATAGATCATTTTCCATAGAGATAAATTGTTCTCCTAAGCAAACAAGATAGGCATTGGTATAATTCTGAGATCTGATGACGGAATTTAATTCTTTAAGAGTAACTTGATTTTGTTCAACTCTTTGTAGCTGAAGATTAAGGTAAGGGGTAGCTTCAGTATTTTGACTCAAACTTATTGTTTGTTCAGGGGGAAAAGGGGCATCCAGTATTTCACCTCTAATATTTTCTCAAGGTCTTTTTAAAACAAGAATTTCTTCTTGTTTTTTACTTATGAAATAGTTAACAAACCATTTCACAAAAGGAATAAAATCTTGCAAAAGGTTCATTTGGGTGTAGTACTCATCTTTAAATTGAGCTAATTCGGGTTTTGAAATTTTTTTTAAAAACCATTCTCTGAATTGAATATATCTCTCGTGTTAAAATTCATCATTGATGAGATGTCTTATCTTGCTACCAGGGGAGTAATCTAACATTATAATTGGAAATTCATATCTGACAGAGTAGGTGATTCTACTTTTGGAGTATTAGGTTTTTGATAAATTCCTTGGGGGATTCTATTTTCGCTAAGTCTTATATTCTCAACGAACTCTATCTCTTCTCTTGTTTGAGAAGTAGAAGGTCTAGGTAATTGGCTGGAAGCTGTGAAAAATTCACTAACTGAGTGTCTAGCAGATAGAGATCTAGGTATCCTAATTATTCTTTTAGGAGTGAAGTTTATTTCTAGATCTCCTTCAGTAGTTTGAATTATTTGATCTATATCCCTATTAAGGATAGGTTCATGATCTATTTCCTGGAGAAGAGACCATGTCTCTGAGAAGTTTATTTCATCCCATTTTATCAATCTATTGGTTGCAACATTGGAAGTTAACAAATTGGTTTGAACCAAAGTAGTAGTCGCAGGGAACGCTAATTGTTTTGCTTTGGGATTAAGCATAGTAAGAACCTTATAGTAGATTTTATAGCATATTGAGATGATCTCTCTTCCAGGTTTGAAATTATAACCATCAGTATGAACAGTTAACTGAATAACATCTAATAAATTCCTTATCAGATAAAGATAGAGTTAAATTTGGTGAGACATCAAAGTAAACTGGTCCATGACACAGACTTGTCTCTACCATAGTGGCTAAAGATTGTTTGAAATCCTTACATCTACCATCTCTAACATAAGTCATTATGCTAGAATTTAAACCTAATACTGTTAAAGGTTTTTAAGCAATTTGAACTAATCCAATATGGATAAAATTATAATTTTTAAAAGGTTTCAAATCTTTTTTAGTTAACAGTTTGATTGTCTGTTTTCTTTAGAAATTTGAATTGTTTGCTCTAGAGTTTTAACAGCAAAACGAGAAAAAACATCTATCTTACCAAATCTATAAATTTGATTAGGAGGAACGGATGGTATAACCCACCTGTTGAGTTTATCCAGATTTTTTGGATATTCTACAAGTTCTTCATTTTTTATCAAATTGTTTTGATGATTATCATCATAAGAATCCATAAAGGAAACAGGCTAAGAACGTTGTGATTGGTTGATACCCAAAGTTAAATCTAAATAGATAACTTGGACTCATAACATAATATTAACCGAAATAACAACCAATAAAAAGTCATCTAAGCAAACAACGAATTGTTTAACTATCAACCCAAAGGGATAGAAAGATTTCTCCCAAATCCAAGATGTCAAAATGTTTTTAGCAAAAATTTTCTTTTTGAAATCATCAACAACTCCCTTGCCCACCTCCGAAAGAGCCGGACAAACCCACTTTCCGGAGATCACGGGACAGTTGAACTAGGGCGAAGACCACGTTCTGGTCTTCACTACGCCACGTAAGCCCTAGCAGTCACCTGGGTTGGGCCTGACAATCCAACCCAACACAAGTGACCGTTGGCCCAGCGCTGGGGTCTCTCTATAAATACTCTCTTCCATAAGAGGGTCAGGTAATTCACTTCTTACCCCATTTTTGTATTTGCTTTCACTCTGCCCAATTCCCTACTTTAGCATCGGAGTGTCTTGCAGGTACACCCCTCTTTCTCCTACTCATCACCGGTGAACACGCAGCAGTCCAACACGAGTGTGGCCAGCTAGTGATCATCTTCTGATCAGGTCAGATATATATAATACACTAAGTAAATTTAATTATTTTTAATTTTTATTTCTTTTTTTCTCTAGGGTAAATAACTTAAAACATGTTTAATTAATTTATAATTAATAATATATTAAATTCAATAAACAATAAATAAAATTAAATATGACAAATAATTAAAAAATACAAGAAATTATTATTATTATTATTATTATTATTATTATTATTATTATTATTATTATTATTATTATTATTATTATTATTATTAATGTCTATCCACGCCCACTAGTGATACCAGGTAGTATATATAGACAGTTAAAAAATATTGTTTTCGAAAATATATTTTCAGAAATTTTTCGGAGATATATTTTTGAAATAAATATATTTATAAAATTGAAGTCTGATTTAAAAACTACTGAATTATATGTATTATAATGCGTTTGAAGATATATCTCAAAAAATTAAAAATATTTTTAAAATTTTAATTTTTTAATTAATAAAAAAATTATGGTTGATTGTTTTTAAAAATACATGTTATGTTCGTTTTTACACGATGCATTTGTGCATCATGACATTGCAAGAAACACCATAGTGATTTGGGTGGAGGCAACGCGTAAACATACATGAAACTAATCAGCTAGTTACTAACACAATAACCGAGGATTCCTCGTCTATGATCTCTTGAACGAGCTAGCTATACATGGAAATCTATTGAAATAAAATGTTTGCAATGAATTATGAAAAACTACAAAGAACTAAGATAATCTTTTATAATTGACAAAATGGGGTTGGAGTTTGAGTATCCTTCCAATGAACGAAATATGATTCCATCCATCCTTGCTTGAACTCCATTTGAAAATGTCAACCTCTCTAGCAGTTCCTTCAACGTGGTTTCAACTCCAGTTAGGGAACTCACCCCGCCTAATGAAATCCCAAGTAGGAGGGAACTTGATCCGGGTATCTCCACAACAGTAACCTGGCATAACTCAAGTAAAATCACCATTTTTTGCAATTGTACTTTTCTAATAAAACATTCATATTGGCTGGATAAACGTGATCTCAAACTAACCTGGTCTTCTTGAGGTATATTAGCCTTCAATTTTGCTATGGCAATGGCTCGGGAAAGGCCACCAATAGCATCAACCAAACCATGCGATGCCGCATCTTTACCGGTCCAAACCCTCCCCTGTGCTACCTCCTCCATCTTATCAACCTTAAGTACAAAATGGTAGTTGTGACAAACGATCAATAAGAAAGGACGGTGAATAAAACATCACAGGAATAATAAGATTAATGGACTTAGAACATACAGTCATTGATCTGGATAAAGCTGCCTTGTCTCGAAATTGTTTATAAGCATTCTGGGCAGATTTGGCAAATAGCTCTGCTTCATCTGGTCTATAAGAAAGGAATAAAGAAAAAGAAATGCTCATATTTGTCTGCTCTGGAATGAAGGTCAAATATTTATGTACTAATATTTATACAACATAAAAATAGCTTGTAAAACCTAAAAACCGTCCATAAAGATTTAAAATATATCAAAGTCGGGAATAACCTTCTGTCTCCCTAAGTTGATCTTGTAATTCCTAGAGGTTAAGAGATTGTGAGTTTGTTTATTGATCAGTGGATTATCTTTGCTACAATCTGCTTTCATATATAATTGAATTTTTACGGATACCTAGCACCTTGATCCCCTTTCTTCAGCTATGAAGCACCGACACCTCTAAAAAATAGTGTGTCCGTGTCCACAGACACCCATAGTGATACTTGTAATTATCTTTAATTTATTCGTTTTTCAAATTATTAATGGTGTTGCCGTGTCGGTGTCGGAGTCGTGTTTGGGGTGTTCGTGCTTCATAGTTCTTCAGAGATCAGTAAATGGGAACCCAATAATTGCTACCATTATTAACTAAGTATGCGGTAAGCCATACAAGATTTTATCTACAATCCATCACACTAAACTTCACTTAAATGAGAATAATTAGAGATATATTCAAACCAAGATAGAGACCAGCTAACTGATAGAGTTTGATAAAGTAGAGAGAATTAGAATAGTTTGAGAATTTCTCATTGTGTTCAATGTATTCAATATATCGAATGTTGATACAAGGGGCTCTCTATTTATAGAGAGATTATCTAGATCTAACTAACTAACTAACTAACTGAAGTTGTAATAACAAACTTGGGCAGCTAAGCAAGAGGAAAACAGAAATCTAGAAATGACTAACTAACTCTATCTTTAACTATTCTATTAGTCCCCCTTAGAGGCTAAAGGTGGTTTGAAACAAGTCATTCTTGTTTAACACCTTCAGCTTTGCTCGCAGAGGTACAAATTTTGCAGCAGCTAGGGGTTTAGTCAGAATATCCGCCCATTGATCTTGAGTAGGAACATGAGCCACAGGAAGACTTTTGCTAGGACTTTTTCACGCACAAAGAAGATGTCAAGCTCCATATGTTTAGTCCTATTGTAGAGAATAGGATTGTGGGCAAGAGTAACAGTGTTCAAGTTGTCACATAGAATCTTAGGCACTTGAAAAGGGCAGTGAAGTTTCTTAAGTAAGGACTGAATCCAAATTAGCTCAGCAGCCAATTGAGCCATGATGCGGTAATCAGCTTCAGCACTTGACCTAGCTACAAGTTGCTGCTTCTTAGACCACCAAGAAACCACATTTGGACCAAGAAAGACACAGGCCCCTGAAGTTGACCTTCTATCATCTGGGTCTGATGCCCAGTCATCATCACAGAACCCTAACAACTGCATAGGCTGTTGAATAGAGGCAAGTCGAAGAAGCAGACCATGATGAAGAGTACCACTCAAATACCTTAAGATCTTCTTGACTGCCTTCCAATGTTCCTCTAAGGGATTGGACAAAAACCGACAAACTTTATTGACAGAAAATGATATTACGGGCCTGGTCAATGTGGCATATTGTAAAGCACCAACAACTTATCTTAATTGAGTTGGATCATCTACAGTGGCAAAACCAACCTTTGACAATTTACTGCTAGACACCATAGGAGTAGGCATGCCATTGGCATTCAGCATATTTACCTTTGAAAGCAGATCAATAAGGTATTTAGTTTGAGATAGCAGCAAGGAGCCATTAGGTAGATGAGACACTTCAATACCCAAAAAATAGTCTAACTGTCCCAACTTTTTTAGAGAAAATTTGTCATTGAGGTGCTTGATCAAGGAGGTAATAAATGAGGCAGAATTCCCTGTGATGATGATATCATCAACATATACCAGAATCATGATCTGAAGATTGCCTTGATGCAGCAGAAACAAGCTGGGATCACACCTACTAGCCTGAAACCCATGCTGAAACAGGGCACTCTTGAGTTTGTCAAACCAGGCCCTAGGGGCCTGTTTTAATCCATAAATGACTTTATTTAACCTGCAAACAAGAGACTTATCAAATGATTCAAAGCCAGGAGGTTGTTGCGTAAAGACTTCATCCTCAAGAGTGCCATTTAGAAAGGCATTATTCACATCAATCTGTTGAATAGTCCATTTATTTGTGACAGCAATGGTTAGAACAACTCTGACTGAGACAGGCTTGATGACTGGTGAGAAAGTCTCCTGAAAATCACTTCCAGCTCTTTGATGGAATCCTTTAGCCACTAATTTGGCCTTGTATCTGTTTATGGATCCATCAGGATTTTCTTTGGTCCTGAAAACCCACTTACAGCCTATAGGCTTCCTAGAATCAAATGCTTTCACCAATGTCCAGGTCTGATTTTTCATCAATGCCTGATATTCCTCTTTCATTGCCTGAAATTAATGGGGAACAACCAATGTTTGGTCAATGGATGTTGGTTCCATATGGGTCAAAAGAAGTGTGGGACGAGTAATGCCTCTTTAGCCCTAGTTTGCATAGGGTGCATATTGAGAGGATTAACAAAAGGATGATTAGGGTGAGGAGGGTTGGGAGATATGGTTTGAGAGGAAGAGGGAGAAATAGTGTTGGCTTCAGCAGGATCAGAAAGAATGAGAGCAGGGAAACAGAGAGGTGAAGTTGTGGATGGAGTGGATATGACAAGTTGCTCATGTTGATTAGAAGCTGAAACAGGACTAGGATTGAGAGCAGAGGGAGAGGCTACAGATGTAGAGGGAATGTCAGCATCACTGGAAGTGTGATTTTCAACCTGACTGAAATTAGTGTTGGTTGGGGAGGGGAGAGTTTCAGCTTGACTAGCAGCAGGGGAGGAAAATAAAAAAGGCACAGACCAAGAGGAAGCACTAGGAGTTGAGGAAGAAGGTAAGAAATGTTGAGAGTGAGTGGGAAACATAATGGAATAAGGAAATTTAGATTCATGAAACACAACATCTTTAAAGATATAAATGTGTCCATTTGAAGCAAGACACTTGTATCCCTTATGAGTTGTGGAATAACCAAGGAAGATACACTCTTGGGACCTATATGCTAACTTGTGAGAATTATAGGGACGAAGATAGGGATAACAAGAGCAACCAAAGACTTTAAGGTTAGAATAGTCAGGGGGTTTGTTAAGAAGTTTAAAGTAAGGTGAATAATTGTCAAGTGTGGGGCTGGAAATTCTGTTAATGAGATATGCAGCTGCTGACAAATGCATGGTCCCAAAATTTCAAAGGAAGGGTAGACTGGGCAAGAAGAGTTAGGCATGTTTCAACAATGTGCCTATGTTTGCGTTCAACAAGCCCATTTTGATGGTGTGTATGAGGGCAAGTGAACCTATGAGCAATGCCCAACTCAGTGAGATACTTGGTGAGAGGTCTAAATTCTCCTCCCCCATCACTTTGAACCCATTTGATGAGACAATTAAACTGCAGCTCAACCATTTTCATAAACTGAGTGAAAGTGTCAGGTTTGAGTTTAAGAGGGAACACACAAACAAACCTAGAGAAGGCATTTACACAAGTTAGAAAATATGTGTATCCTCCTGTAGATTTTATAGGGGCAGGACCCCAAAGATCACAGACAACTAACTCAAAAGGATGAGTATACACTGTGGTAGATGAAGAAGGTAACCTATGTGACTTGCCAAGGCAGCAAGCATGGCACAGTTTTGTAGATGGTTTGGGAAAGATAGGGAGATTGCATAGTTTGAAAATCTCAACAAGAGCATGATGATTAGGGTGCCCCAATCAAGTATGCCACAGAACATATTTATTAGTTGCTATAGATGATCAGCTATTTGAATGTGATGAAGATAACTCAGTGCTGTAAGTAGTAGAATTAAGAGAAGGAGAATGGGGAAGACTGCTCAGTGTTATTATTATATGTATCAGGATTACAAAGAGTAATACAGTGGGAGATACAATTTGGCAAACAATTGGAAATATTACTATTGTGTACTACAGAAGAACATGGGAAACTACAGCTACAAATTATTCTTGGAGACAGATTGAGCAGAACAGGAATTAAGACTTGGAGAGGACTTGGACAGTTGAGTGGCAGGATTTGGAAACTTGTAGAGGTCATCACTTCCAACAGACCCACGAAGTAACACTTCAGAAGAAGCCTGAGATTTGACAACACAGGATTTAGGATGAAATTCAGAGAAAACATTGTTGTCATGAGCAAATTTGCTCACACTCATCAAGTTTTTGGTGATGTGAGGAACAAGAGATCTCTAAGAATAAGGGATAGGTTAGGATTGTTTGGTAAGGAAAAGGACATAGAACTAATAGAATTGATAGACAAACCTTGGCCATTTCCCATGAAGACTTGCCCAATCCCAGGCAATGAAACGGAATCAGACAAATTAGAGGCCTAAGGAGTAACATGGTGAGGACGCACCTGAGTCAGAATACCACCATTGATTGTTGAAATTAGCTTTAGAACCTGCATAGAAGGCTTGTGGTGCTGAAGTTCTAGGAGGTGCGGCTCTTGGAGCAGGATAACCAAAAGGAGAGGAATACACAGAACGTGGTGGCATGAGGAAAGGATTGTACTGAGCCTTCTGAGGTGTCTACGCAGCACTACTGGAGTTGGAGTAACGGTAGTAACAGATAGAAGCATCATGTCCAGATTTGTGACAAATCTGACATTGCGTTTTGCCAGAGCGTCCTCCTCCACGCCATAACGGCCACCTCCACAACCAGAACGACCTCCTCGTGAGCCATAACCCTCAACATTAGCAGTAACGTGACTCGTACCTTGAGGAAAAACGTCTGTGGCAGTTTGATCAGTAGGAACTGGCGTAGACGGTGGCTCTGCCTGAGTAAGATTCACCGTCGCAGGCTCCGTAGTAACGGCTTTGCGATGCTTCTCCAAACGCGACTCATGAGCCAGCAGTGACGACTCCAACTCCTCTAACGAGCTTAATTCTTCTTTCCTGTTAATGGCGGGAACGATGGAGTCGTACTCCTCAGGGAGAGAATCAAGAACAATCTCAATTAGGTTACGAAGAGAACTGGATCCCCAATCGAAGT